TTCATGCTCATGTTCCTTGGGGTGGCTGCCATCTGAGGGTCCTTTAGAGCCACCATGCTGTTTGGCTTCTTCCAAAAATTTGTCCAGACCAAAAGGATCTTCTTCAAACTGAATGGGTCCTTCTTGGCCTCACTTATGGTCAGAGCCAGAAAATTCCTTGTCAGGAACAAATCTGTTGGTCTTCATTCTGGCTTCTAGGTCATCACCATACATGTCCTTGTCCAGATTTTTACGGGGCCCATAAATATTCTGGGCCATATCTTTACCACCTCCCCAGGCTTGATCATAAACATTATAAATTTCATCTTCTCCACTCGCAAATCCACTGTCCATACCCTTTGATTGTAATTAGTAGTTACTATGGCAGTGCTAGATATTATCCAGTGATATTTATTTGGTATTTTCATACTGGTCTTTATTAACTATCATTAGACATCCAAAATATGATTCATGACAAAAGTAACAATAGTGGAAAACCCTGGTAATTCCATCAGCCAAGTAAATCAGCTGCTCCATTTTTTCAGGTTTCATTTTGATTACATACTTTTCAATTTGTTTTCCATGGTTTTGTCTATAGCATAGATAAAAATATATACTGATTACTATAGAATACTTTAATTAGTCTTCAGTAACCCAAATGCTTGGAGATGCCTTTGAAGCTTCAGGCCTACCCTTTGATTTTCAAGGCAGCCTTTATGAATTATGTTATCTTTTTGCATCTATGTGTCCACATCCCTCATTTGAATTTTTGAAAGTATTGAAGCATAAGAAAAGTTATAGAGCAGTACCTCTTATTCAGGGATTTTGGAATTTGGGTCATGTTTGGCAACATTTTTGGTGACAGAATGGGAAGGTGTTCATAATGGCATGTAGTAGAAGAGGGCAAGTGTGCTACTAAATATCCTACATTACACAGGAAATCTCCACACCCCAACAAATAACTATCTAGTCCCAAAACTCAGTAATGTTGGGGTTGAGAATCGTTGACCTAGCTAATTCCTCTCATCTTCCCTAACTCAAGCTGTATTTTCAGAACACGGCGAACAGCACTTCAAATAGGCAATGAGGCCTGAGATGATGTGACATGGCGATTTTGTCTTCTTGCTGACCAACACCAAGCCTATATTCATCAGCCACAGGGATGTGAAAGCTACTGGAAAGTCCCCCTTCACATCAGCAGACAATGTCCCCACGTGTGTGTTAACTTGCTGTTACCTGGTGGCACATCACTTTCTCAGGGAAATTTGCAGGCTTTGAGATGAGCTGAAGCTTGAGCTGATCCTACTCAGCTGGCCACGAACATCATCCACCATGAGTATTTTCTCCTGGAGGCACAGTACTGTCTCAGGAGCTCAGTGCCATGTATTCATGAGAAAGAGCCCAACCTCTGCCCATTTTTGTTGTAGGATGCATACATGATGAGTTATAGACCAATTTCAGACACACTTAAAGATGAAAAAAATTTGTCCTGAATGATGATGAGGCATAATCATTATTGTACATGCTATCAAGTCTCATTAACTTATTTTCCTTTTAAAATACTATATCTCCTGAAAATTTAAATGTTTTTTGAGAGTAATTCCAGTGCTTCAAAACTGCAGCAATCAGAGTGCAGCGGCCCCGGTGGGCCTTGCTGGTCCTGCGTGCTGAGACAGCGATTAAGACTGGGCATGGTGGTGCATGCCTGTAATCCCAGCACTTGGGAGGCTGAAAAGAGGAGAATCACTACGACTCCAATCTATGTGGTGAGGCCCTGTAGACCCTATAGACCCTGTACTAAATACATAAAAAAGCAGAAATAAAAATAAAAAATGAAACAAAACAGAAAACCCTGCAGCACTATAAATGTGACACCATGGAATTGTAAATGGTGCTCAGTGATAAAGGTGAAGCATTCCTAATCTAAAAATCCAAATTCCAAAGTGCTCTGAAATACATTTTTTTCTGGTTACTCAGAAATTAGCCAAGAGCTTTTGCATAAGCCACAGATCTCTTCCTTTCCATTTACTTACTTTTTAAAATATAAAGCCAGGTTCTTACTAAGGCGCTAAATTGTCTGCAGTGGGCTTCAACTCACTATCCTGCCTCAGCTTTCCAGAGCACTGGGACTGCAGACTTGCACCACCATACTTGGCTGAAAGTCTTAAATGTTTTGAATGCCAGGAAGACATTAAAAATGGAAAATTCTATGCCCGATTTCCTGTGATGGGCCTCAGTCAAAACACAGTTGCATGAAAAACTTTATATAAGTAACCTTCAGCCTTTGTTTGTATAAAACATACGTGACTTTAGTATCTAAGCTGGGGTTACATCCTTAAGATATATATATATATATATATATGCTTTATAAAACTTTCCCACACTCATAAACCTTTCCTACACTTTTTGTTTTGTTTTTTGAGCAGAACCGGGGATTGAACTCAGGCCCCTGCGCTTGCCAGGCAAGCACTTATTCCACTGAGCCATCTCCCCGGCCCCTTTCCTACACTTTTGAAAACACTTCTAACATTCTTAACCATTTTCTAAATTCGTAAAGCTGTATAATTTTAACAATATACCAGTACTATACAGTACTGCAAAATCCCACAATATAGTGAAAGATCCGTGATAAATAATTTAGATTAATATTTTTTGAAAACCTGCAAAACAATGAATCTGCAAAAGTTGAACCACAAAATAGCAAGAGACTGCTGCATATGCAAATAGTATTCCAAGATCTGAAGGAAATGAGAAATTCGAAATAATCTGGTCCCAAGCATCTGAACAAGAGAGACTTGGCCTATAACTCATTTCCATTGCTTCTTTTTCTGTGCAGAAGGGCACAAATTCACCAATTCTTGTATCTGAGGAAATACAAAGGAAAACGTGTTTTCTAAGCTCATAGAAAATCACTTTGGCTGAGACACAATACAAGACACCTAGAATGTAAAGGAAGAGAGGTTTACTTGGGCTCATGACTTAGTGCCAGGTGGTCCAGCTTAAAGGCAGAATGGCACGGCAGAGGGGCACAGCAGAAGAACAGTGCTCTCACCATGGAGCCCCGGAAGCTGAGAGAGAGGAGCCAGGAAGAAGGGAAATGCAC